TTTTTAACATCTCTGCTTGTGTTCTGTAGTGGTTGTGTTCCTCCAGAGTATGTTAAACGAGGCGTATACTCCAGGAAATATGATGTTTATAGCTTCGGAGTCCTGTTGTTGCAAATCCTTGGTGGAAAGAAGAATTCATGTGAATATGGAATCGAGAACGATTTGAATCTTCTTGAATATGTAAGTTCATTTCTCCCCCTAGTAGGTAATGAAGAGGAGAACTTTTGTGCTTATATATAGTAAGGAAGTAAATCCATAACCTCAAATATAATGAGAGGATTCGATTCCTTAAGGACACACAGTAAATTCTGTGATCTCGATTACAGTATGAACACAATAGAATTACTAACTTCATTTGATCAAAATTCATCAGGCATATGAACTTTGGCATAAAGGCAATGGAGTGGATTTCATTGATCCATCACTGCAAGATGATTTTCGAATAAGTAAACAAGTGAGATACATGCAAGTTGCATTATTATGTGTTAAAGAAAAATGGGAAGACAGACCATCCATGTTGGAGGTATACTCCATGCTCAAAATGAAATTGAAGTCTTGCCAAATCCTAAAGTTCCTGCCTTTTCCAAGAATAAAGACGATATCGCGAAAGAGACTTTAGTCACAGTTGAACTAGCTTGTTCGGAAAATAGTCTCACTATTTCCCAACTTATAGCTCGTTAACAGTTAGAAAGTCTGCATACATCTTACTCTCCTCAGACTCCACTTGGTGTTATTGTTGTCTTTACTTGATTTTGGGAAATCCTTGCATGATGAAGGAAAATTGTTTTAGTGACTTTAAGTATGATGAATGTGGAGTCATGAATGATTACTTAGTATATCAACAACAAATTTACTATAATCTCATGAGTGGGAGTATGTGAAGGGTGATGTGTATGCGGACCTTACCTTTACATTGTGGAGGTAGAGACGATGTTTCCTGAATAGCCTCGGCTTGAGTAACACATTTTCAAAGAAGGTTAGAAAAAGGGAATATATATATACCAGAAACAGATTTTTTTTTTCCACCGCTAATCAATGAAAATTTTGTGCTATATATAAAACATGATTTTTAATTTTGACACTATTTCCACCGAACTAGCTCACTGGGAAAATGCATGATGCCATGTCTGTCTTTTGGAAATAGCCTCTCTATTTCTACAGGATAGGCGCAAGGTCTACATACACTCTATTCTCTCCAGACCCCATGCTATTGTTGTATTTGCTGAGGATTGTTGCTGGTAATTAAGAACAAAACAACTTGTTAATTGTACAACATAAATATAGAAGATTTGTAAAAGGAACATAATGTGGAAAAACAAAAACAAACTTAAAGTGAACGAATAAAACCAGAAATATAGTATGATGTATAACTATATATCAAAGATGTAGATCCATTCATATATATACAATAGTTCCTTTATACTTTGTTCCAAAAAATGATGTTTTTTTTTGGTATTGTAACATTATTTAACTTTGCAAATTTGTACAATAGCACAAACATAGCTAAACACTGAATAGATAAAGAACTATTTAGTTGACTAATACAAGTGTGATGTATTTTCCATAAATAAATACAAGATCACACATAATTTACGATTATTGATTTGACGTAAACACAAAATATAAATAAGTTGTTACATAATACAAAATGTTCCTCTAGACCTTACCTTTTTGCTGAAAGAGGCTATGTACAATGTTACCTCAGGATTTTTCTTTATTTACAAAAAGTAGTGGATATTATAGTTGAGAATGTTCTGTGGACTATGAACTATATATACACAATAAAAAATTATGGTGAAACGGTAAATATTTTTTCATTTTCAATAAAAGTTTTCGGAGTCGAATTTTGAATATTGAATCGTTTTTAATAGTAAGCATTTTACCCTTTAAATTAGATTTTTCAATGTAAATTTGAATTAATCTAACTACACAATAGATATTGAACATCGAGTAAAAAAAATGGACTTATGAGCTATGAGGCACCATGAAATCGTAGTCAACTCCATGGATAACATCTTTTCACATTATTCAGAATTTAAACACATTTTAATTTTTAAGGATTGGGAAAAAGTAAATAACGAAACCACTACGGATTTGTCAACTTTAACTATTCAAAAAATATATATCTTACTCTCCTCAGACTCCACTTGGTGTTATTGTTGTCCTTACTTGATTTTGGGAAATCCTTGTGTTATGAAGGAAAATTGTTTAAGTAGTGACTTGAAGTATGATGAATGTGGAGTCATGAATGATTACTTAGTATAGAAACAACAAATTCAGTATAATCTCATGAGTGGGAGTATGTGAAGGGTGATGTGTATGCAGACCTTACCCTTTTACATTGTGGAGGTAGAGATGATGTTTCCTAAAGAGCCTCGGCTCGAGTAACACATTTTCAAAGAAGGTTAGAAAAGGGAATATATATACCCTCTCTATTTCTATAGGGTAGGCACAAGGTTTGCATACACTCTATTCTCTCCGGACGCCATGTTGTTGCTGTATTTCATGAGGATTGTTGCTGGTATTTAAGAACAAAACAACTTGTTAATTGTACAACATAAATATGGAAGATTTGTAAAAAGGAACATAATGTGGAAAAAACAAAAACATAAAGCTTCTTACTAATAAGAAAAGGTTTAACTAATAAAATGGTCGTACGTATATGTAATGTATCGATATTATATAATCGTATACAATATGATGTATAACTATATATCAAAGATGTCTTCACATCTTGTATTTATTTATGGAAAATAACATCACACTTGTATAGTCAACTAAATAGTTCTTTATCTATTCAGTGTTTAGCTATGTTTGTGCTATTGTACAAATTTGCAAAGTTAAATAATATTACAATACGATTGGAACAAAGTATAAAGGAACTATTGTATATATGAATGAATCAGGACAGACAAACTTTTATAACATTAATGATATCTAAAATTTCACAAAATTATCGATGAAAATTAACAATATCTATGATCATGCATTCATTGTAATCTTATGAGAAAACACCGATAAAAAATGATGTCTTTTTATTATTAAGTACAAAAAAGAAAATATGGGAAAACTTCTATTTTTCAACTGTGGATAATTGAAGAAAAAGAAAAACTACGGAGTAATATACTTGAGAAAGTACCCAAAAACACTATAAAAAAAAGGGGGTAAAAAGCTCCTACAATTTTTTTTTACTACTCAAAAATACTTAAATATTTCTTTCAACGATAAAATGGTCGAAGAATGAAAAAAGAAAAGAAAAATTACTAACCTGTTTTAGAAAGTAGCCAATTTTGGTCTGCTGCCACGTGCCACGCAATCCTCTACCTTTAACATAAGTAACCTTATTTCTAACGGTTTGAGTATCGTCATAACTAATCCAAGTATTACCAGAATAACAATAATCTCCAACGATCGTTGCATTATACATTGTTGTGGCACGATTCTGTACAATATAATTCCTGATTTGAATATAAGTCATCGATCCATCATCGATCGAACCAGCACTCGATTTACCATTTTGCAGGAGCCCTAAGTCCATGATTATTCGCATTTACCAATTGCCAAGCATAGCCATAAAATGGAATTCCAAGAACCAATTTTTGTGCTGCAACACCTGCTTGAATCCATGAAGCAGTCCCATCACTACCGCTCACGCCGCTCACGGGGTCGAATAATTGTACATGTGAATTGGTTTGTGATGGTGACCAGTTCGGTCCGTAGAAGTCATATGACATGACATTGAGCCAATCTAAGTTTCGAGCCACAGATTGAACTGGATAGTTCAAACCATTGACCCGGGGTGTGTTGGAAACAGCCGATGTGAGAAATAGTGATGCCCTACCAGAATTTCTTGCCTCTGTGTTGATGGCAGCACGAAATTCGTCTAAAAGAGTACCTATTTAAGACAATTAAAGAAATTACAAATGTGTTTCATCGGACATTTTAAATTAAATGGTCACACAATTATTATTTGATCATATGGAGATCATTAATCGGTGGAGTTAGGTTTTGAATTCAAATTTCATCTAAACCAATGACAAAGGAAGCATATAATGATTCATATGTTCAACAGAACTCAATATTTTAGACAAATGAGTATGTGTGTGCGAGAAAGAGACAGTATGTTAAAGAACGACAAAAGCCCCACATTGGTGGTTAATGAGATGAGTGGACTTGGGCAATCCTCTTTTCTTTGAGCTAGCTTTTGGGGTGTGAGTTAGGTACGAGACCTAATTTCACAACACCCAAAATAGAACAACAAAAAACAAATGATCGTTTTTGCAAAAAAAATCAACCGAGTCAATAAAATCCAAAAAACACAAAAATCTATTTATTTATTTAAAATAAATGAAAAATAATTTTCAAAAAATCAATCAACATAATTTACAAATTGGGAGGGGGATGAAATTCCAATACCATATAATTAAATTCCCCGATCCCACATCATCCCAAAGTAACAAACATATTAGTAAAATGATGACCACACAATTTAACGTACCTAAATTTGTCATGTCTATAGTTGATTCAGGATATTCCCAATCAAGATCAAGTCCATGAAATCCCAATTGTCTAGCCAATTTTATTGATGAATCAATAAAACTTTTTCTTGAATTTGGTGTTCTCGCCATGACTCCATAAGCTGTTCTATTAGCTCTCCCTCCACCTATGGACAACAAAGTTTTAACCGACGGATTCTTCCCCATAACTGTGCTCGTGAATTGTCTGAACGAATCTTGATCTTCTGGCGATATGACTAATTGATTCGATTGGGGGTTAAGGTTTGCGAACGCACAAAATAGATGTGTGAAAAGAGTTGAATCAATGTTGTTTAAGGATAATCCACTATCCCTAAACCAATACCCTCCTTTGACAACATTGTTTTGGCCATTAGAGAAAATTAATTGTTGGAGGAAGAAAAATAAAAAGAAAAGTTTGATGAAATTAGCCATTGAATTGAAGGTTAATTGTGACTTGGAATTTATGAATATATATAAGTTTCAAGAATTGAGTTAATTAAAAGATTATTTAATTACTGTCTACCGGCGGCTTTTAAGTTTTAACTAACATGTATAGTACAAAGTGATTGAATTTTCATGCTTCTGAAAACAGAATAGTCAACATTTGCTTATGTATTATAAACAAATGTTTGAATATGTCGTTTGCATATTGTTTCCAATTTATTTTTATCATTAACCTTTTTAAAAATAATTATTTAGTAAATAACTTTGTTTTTGCAGCTTATGAAATTTTTAGATCACGATCTAAAGTTCATTTTTGAGCAAATTAAAAAAATTATGAGAGAATGTTAGACCACGATCTAAAAGTTTGAGTTTTATTAGAACATTAGACGACTATTTAATATTTTGTTTGTAAGGTGAGAAATGTATGAGAAAACATAGTTGAATTCGAATCTAATCCGGTTCGGAAGGGTAATTCCTTAAAGGCATAACTTTTAAAAGTAAGACAAAATCCAAATTAGATGGGGTTGTACTAGGGATCGATCAGTTCTTAGATTGTTTTTATTTGCGTTGGTGATGGAAGAAATACATATTATACTCAAGGGGAGGTATCATGATGTATATCATTTGTGGATGACATAGTATCGATTGACAAGGAACGTGACATAACTATATTATAGATGTTTGAAAACAAATCCTAGAGTCTAAAAGTTTAGGTTGATCATGACTAAAATCAGGTACGTGAGGCATATGTGGAATTGATGATTCATATACAAGTCATCCCTAAGAGAGGGGGCTTCAAGTATGTTGGGTCAATAATTCAAGGAAATAGAAAAATCAACGCTAATGTCACACATTGTATCGGGACTGGTGGATGAAATATAGGCTCACGTTTGATGTCCTAAACAAATTAAATGTATGTTTTATAGAGTGGTTAATTAGATAAACTATGTTGTATGAGGCAAAATGTTAGTCAGTCAAAAATTTACTCATCCAAAAGATGGAAATAACGAAAATGAGAATGCTTAGATGGATGTGTAGATATACTAGTAGAGATATGTTTAAGAATGAGGATATACATGATAAAGTGTGAGTGACCTCCATAGTAGATCACAAGATGCGGATAACGGGGTTGAAAGGTAAGTACACATGAATAGGAGTTAGATGCCCCAATGAAGTGGTGTGAGGATTGACAATGATAGGCCCAAGAATAGGTAGAGGTAGACGAGGAAGAATTGGAGAGAAATAATTAGATAGGATATGACACACATTCACCTAAGTGAAAACATGTCCCTAAATATATTAAAAGTTTAACCAATGATAAAATTAGCCTATTCTCAAATAATACATAAATAAACTTGACCATTCCAATTAAAAGATTGGTCTTTGATGGATTCTTGAAAAAATGATCATATGTGGTGACTAGCGTTATCTATTTTGTCACGTTATGATAGAAATTAAATTTGAATAGTTTCTTGTGAAAATAGGTTATCTTGGTGAGTTATTTAATTTGGTAATTGTTGACTTTTGAGGGTTATAGATTATAGAGGAAACTACATATTAGGAATCAATTAACTAATCATTTGACTAAATCTTATAACAGCAGCCACATGTAATTAATTTGTTTGATGATGATGCAAAATATGTGTTATATGTACGGCAATTTACAAAGTTTATTCATTCTTGTTGCTGATTTTATTACTTTATTAACTAAAAAATATCTCTAAATAACTCATACTCCTCATCTCATTTTATACAAATATATTTGACTATGTAAGGAGTAAGGGCTATTCAGAATTTTGAGAGGATGAAGATGCAATGTTACGAAAAAGTGTATTGAGATTGGTTGAGTCCATGATTGTATGTTATATCATCCAGCACTACTAGCTTTAATATACACATTTTTCTAGTGCTATTTTTTTTTATAGGAATTTTCAATGTGAAAGACTTGAAATTTTTGAAAGAATAAAGCAAAATAAATAAATAAAATTAGTGAAAACATCAAAAGTGCTATCAATAACCACTTAAAGAGGTGCACCAAATCATCATCGTATTATATAATACTTCGAATTTGAATTCACACATCTATAATTAAATAATTTTTTAGAAATATAACACTACTATATATATAATCTCATAAGAAAAATTTAGACTCACATGAACTCGAGGAATCCCTTGATATGAAGCTTAAGAAACGTAGAAAGACTTGTAATATGTTATTAAAAAGTCGATTTTGAGCTGATCATAATATTTTTTAAATATTTTGAAGTGCAGTAATTTTTATATAAAGTGTAAAGAAATGTCCTGAACAAATGGGCTGGAGTCTTAGAGTGAGCCCAATTAGGTTGATAGAAGCTTTTAAGGCCCATCAGATAATGGGCTTATACTCTGCGCTGAACCAATTTCAATTCCCTCTCAAATTCCAATTTCACCTCACAAATGGTCTTCTTGCCTATATTTCCTTACTTGACTTTGGATGTGAAATCTTTGAATTTCATCTTAAAATGTTGATTTTTTTAGCTAGTTTTATAACCGTGTTGTTCGGGTAAGCTTTCGTGGCACTATGACAAATTATTGTTTCTGTTGTGATTTGAACTTGAACTTAAGACGTCATGAGTCTCATACCGTTTTACTGGATCACAATATGTGGTTAGTTTGCCACTAAAATCATTTTTGGTGTTATTGTTGTTGTTTAATTAGTTTTGGGAAAGCATTTTCACCTCACAAATGTGAATAGAAGTATGATGAATGTGGAGTCATGAATGATAAAATTGCTTCTAATTAATGCTCCAAGCGCAAAACAGAACTATAATCGTATATAATCACTGTATAATCTCTGTACACCGACAAAGAAAAGGAAACATTGAATCAAACCAACTATATATCTTAAGATCCCTGATTTTAGTGCATTCAATATTTATACCAAATCAACAAATGTAAGACATATGTATTGCGTTCAAACAATTATCACTTAACCATGGTTCGATTTTAACTGTCAAGGTTAAAATTTTAACTAAGCTCATCTAGTTGATCAAGGATGGGTGGAGGGTAGACAAGTATGAAAAAATCTTTTATAGATGTGAACATGACCTATTGAACCACAATTGAATCTTGTGTACAAGCTATGGCCTACAAACCCAACATTTGGGGCAGTGGCATAGAAGTCAAGAGGATCTTTACATGCAAGGATGCTACACTAGTCAAAACATAATATGACTTTCATAAGATTTTATCACAAAGCACTTACCAAGAAGTTCAGAGGGGTGGAAATTTTAGACTCGGAAATAACTTGTCTATCTTCATAAAGTTCCTACTTTATAAGATTATATTTTTCAGACTTCATTTATAAGATTATATTGGGTATATTGTTGTTATTAGTTTTGAAATTGTATAGCTTCTTGGTATCAAGAATTATTGTATGTGCAACTATAGTGGAGGGAATCAAGATTTTCATTAATAGAATTTAATTATAAAGAAGTAAATACACGAAAAAACCAAGGAAATATCCAAGGATGATGCATTTATAAATGTGAACATGACTAGAACAAATATCCAAAATTTATCTTAACTTTCCAAAGTGCACCAGGAGTTTCTATGAAAGTAACCAAACACACTTTTCATCACAAAAAGACAAAGCATACTACAGATTGACCAATTCATTTTTAACAAGCAAAGGTGTTGGGCAAATCAACAATATAGTTTTGAGACTTTTACCAACAAGTATATTACTCCCTTCGTCCCAATTTATGTGATGTTGTTTGATTTTACACAAAGTTTAAAAAGAAAGAAAGATTATTGAAACTTGTGGTCTAAAGAATGAATATTTTAAAGTTAAATTATTAGTAAATATAATAATAGACAAATCAACAATATAGTATTGAGACCTTTGCCAAAAAGTTTATTACATGATTGGAAATTAAGACATGTAGTACAAAAGACTATTTGCTTGATATAAAAAATCTTTACTTGACTTGAAATCTTAAGCATCTCAATTCAATTTTCACTAGTCTTAGACGTCCTATACACTTATAATTATATAAATGCAGATCTTATTATACAAATTATAATGTATAAATGAATTTATACAAAATTAAACAATTTGTATAAAATTGGATGTTTGTAGCGAATTATTTAAATCAAAAGCCCCATAAAATTTGCTATGGAGCGCAATTATGCAAATTATAGGTATAACATACAAATATGATTTTTATGTTTGCTATATGTGAAAGTTGCTCTTTTTTATATAAGTGTAAAGAAATGTCCTGAACAAATGGGCTGGAGTCTTAGAGTGAGCCCAATTAGGTTGATAGAAGCTTTTAAGGCCCATCAGATAATGGGCTTTTACTCTGCGTCTGAACCAATTTCAATTCCCTCTCAAATTCCAATTTCACCTCACAAATGGTCTTCTTGCCTATGTTTCCTTACTTGACTTTGGGAAATCCTTATGTGAAATCTTTGAATTTCATCTTAAAATGTTGATTTTTTTAGCTAGTTTGATAACCGTGTTGTTTGGGTAAGCTTTTGTGGCACTATGACAAATTATTGTTTTTGTTGTGATTTGAACCTGAACTTAAGACGTCATGAGTCTCATACCGTTTTATTGGATCACAATATGTGGTTAGTTTGCCACTAATTAAAGTCATTTTTGGTGTTATTGTTGTTGTTTAATTAGTTTTGGGAAAGCATTTTCAACTCACAAATGTGACTTGAAGTATGATGAATGTGGAGTCATGAATGATTACTGTGATAAAATTCCTTCTAATTAATGCTCCAAGCGCAAAACAGAACTATAATCGTATATAATCACTGTATAATCTCTGTACACAGACAAAGAAAAGGAAACATTGAATCAAATCAACTATATATCTTAAGATCCCTGATTTTAGTGCATTCAGTATTTATACCAAATCAACAAATGTAAGACATATGTATTGCATTCAAACAATTATCACTTAACCATGGTTCGATTTTAACTGTCAAGGTTAAAATTTTAACCAAGCTCATCTAGTTGA